TCTGACCATTTCCAAGTGAGTATTGGTCGATTTCATCTTCTCCTGTGGGTAGACGGAGCCAAACCAACAAACCACACCGGAAGGTGTGCCTACCGAAAACGAATGCCGAACTTTTCACGACAGACATGCCCCGCGATCCTGAGCCACGGGCGGAAAGTGCGAAAATGAACTGCGGTCAAAAGCACTCACTCTGAATGCAACCATTCACAGATTCCCCCCAATTTAAGTTGACCGCAGTTCCGAAAATCCAGAAACCCGCTGCTCAAGAACTTGTACAAAGGATCAGGGTTTCCGAACCTCTTGGTAAGACAATCTACGATCATTTGTTGATGGCTGATCCACTTGATTGTGGTTCCAGTCTCACACATCAGCTGACGGATGATCTGCATCTCGATCGCCGTCCGGCGGTCATCTGCGGTCCCTACGGTGCTCTTCACAAGATGATCGAACAAAGACTTGGCGTCGACCAGGCACAGCCCTCTCTTGAGGGTGTCACACATTTCATCATGTGACAAAGCATGCAGCCTACGCTCCCTCACTGCTCGGTCCCACTCTTTAAGTTCGAAGCCAGCAGTGGTCATCTCGTTATACACGGTGGTCGCCCACGCCAGCTCCTGCAGCCCACGAGCCAAGCTCTGAGCTTCCGCGGCCAGAGTGGAATTCACAACCCGGTGCATCTTGCCGGATCTCCAAAACAGCAGGTTCCCGGGGGCACATCCTTTGATGATCAAGTCTTCATCATAGCAGATCACAACGAAACCTCCTTGAGAACTTCCCCCACTGGCATTTGCCCAAGATGCGTCTGTAATGACGCCGAAGCACATTCTTTCTTCCTTGATGGGCTGGATCTGAATGCTGAGATCAGCATGTTTCTTCATTTCTTTGATGATCTTGTTCAGGTCCTGGATGTCCTGAATCTTCAGCTGGTTCAGACAACCAGCCACCAGCGAGGCTCCTGCCGCTCCATCTGGCCTTCCTTCTTTTGCTGCCCAGGTGAGAGAGCCCACCGCTGCCCTGGTGAGGGCCACTTCTTCTTCATTGGCCATTTCTTCCTTCTTTCTTCCCTTTTCAAGTGGAACCTCCTCCAGTCGCTCATTGACGTACTTCAGCATGTCAATGATGTAGCCTCCATTTGGCCTGGCTCGGATTCTCCTTCCATTGAACGAAGCCCCTTCTGGCTGTGAAGCTAGGTCCACAAATTTTCCGAAGCTGAAGCGACTCCTCAGTTCTTCTAACTTCTGGTCATGCTTCTCATCTCCAAAGCACAGGAGATCATCTACTTCCACGATGATGATGCCATGGAGTCCTCCGTCTTCTCCCACGTATTTGAATGAACATGGATCCATCTCTGACTGGATGTAGCCGATCTGGAGCAACACCTTCTTCAAAGACTTCCTCCAATGAGCGGGAGCGTCTCCTAGGCCATAGGCTCCAGCCAGGATCTCGATCAATTGTCCTGGGACCATGTTGGGCAATCCTCCTCTTGGCTGTCTGCAGAACAATCTTCCTTCTTCACGGACTAGGGAATCAGATTGCATGAACGCATTCCTGAGGTCTCCCACATAGGTCTTGAAGCCCTTATTGGCTGCCACTTGCAGTGCAACGGATATCACTGCCGTGGTCACCGTAGGAGCATATCGACTCAAATTGAGTAAATCGGGATCTTTGTCACCTCGAATGCACCATCTGGACTTTCGGGTCGGTGCTTCTCCTGGTTGGTCAGCGGGCTTCCACCGTCTCACAATCCGAGATGGAAGTATACGTGAGCTCTTCTTGGCTTTCCGTAGCTGGTCTTCCACTTCCAGTGATTCTTCTGGACTTAGTAGCTTCACTGCCCCAGTGTTGAGAACTTTTGTCCATTCGTCACCATCTGCAACTCGCCACTTTGGCCACTCTTCTTCGGTGATGCTCTTCTCATCGACCTCATCGCTTCCTTTCTTGACCATCAACACCTTACTCTCGATCTCCTCCAGGTTCACTCCAGGCTTCAGAAGGAACTCCGTGTAGCCGGTCCAGCTCCTTGGTGGGCCTGGGGATTCTTCATCCTTCTTCATCTCCCGCCAGTTTCCTTTCTGAACTTGAGTGCCTTCCTCGAAGATCTTGATGGTCTTTCGATGTGAAGTCAGATTCTTCAGCTTGAGGGGACATTCCTTTTCATACGGTTTGAAGGCCTGGGTGCGATAGTTCATATGCCTCCGGATCAGCTTCTTGCTCTGGGCATCTAGGATCCAGTAATCGTTGGCGTGATTTTCTTCATCTTCTTCATTGGGCTCCTCTGTGTTCTTGACGTACAGCTCGGCATCATATGGTCTCCATCGGATGTTCTCCAGCCGTTGTCTGATGGGCTGGTATGCCTCTTGAGCTCGAGCTGATGGGAGCGTTCCATCCAGCTGTTCATTTTGGATGACTGATCTCGTAGCATCTTCTACCTGCCCGGGAGTCAGCTTTTCTTCTTCAGATTCCGGCTCTTCTTCTGCAGAACTTGAGCTTTGGCTGGAACTTCTCTGTTGACTTTCACCTGGATCAGGTTCTGCTCTGCTTGAGGTGCCCCCTTCATCTTCCGCGACTCGAGCTCGGCGTTGAGGTGGTTCCATTTCTTCCTCTAAAAGGCAATTCCCATGTTGAGATGTCTTTGTATGCTCTCTTGCTGTGCTGTCGCTTCATTGCCTCTCGAAGTTCATGAAACTCTTCTCTCAAAAGCCCAAGTGCATCCTCCTCTTCTGGAGTTGCGCTCCTCACCTGCTCCATGGCGGTCTTCCAGAGCTCTCCTCTCATAGAGATCCAGGCGTTCCTGCCTTCTGCCAGGATCATAGTTCCAGGGCCCACCCAGCATGGTCTCGTGGTGACAGCACCTCCTCCGCGCCTGGGTAGTGGTTTTCGGAACACATAGACGATGTCTCCTGGAAGGAATGTCTTGCTGACACGGTTTTGAGCATGCACTGCTCGTTGAACCTCTTCATTGGCGGTCTGTTTGATGAATGCCTCCATAGCCGCTTGTTTGATGGACAAGGTTCTCCTCACCTCTTCGCCAGCTGCTCCACTGATGAGACTCGCTTCCATTCGATCATCGCTCGCCAGACTACCTGGGATTCTAACATTGCTTCCCAAGTGCCGTTGTGCCGGAGAGAAGCCTGATCTGTTGAACAGCCGATTCTTTGCCGCCTGAGTGGCATGCACGCACTCCTCCCACTCTTCATCATCTCTTGGGCTGACTTGTTCCAAGGTCTTTACGAGGACTGCCTTTGCAATTCCCCCATGACGCTCTGTGCATCCGTTTTGCCATGGAGCCCGCGCTCCAATCACTCTGGTGATGATCCCGTTCTCATTGCATCGTGTGGAGAACTCTCCAATGAATTCCCGGCCCTGATCCGCCACCACCATCTCCGGAGCTCCGAAGATCCTCATCCATCCTCTTTGGAAGCCCTGCCAGACGCTCATTGACGAAAGATCTCGTAGTGGTTCAAGAACCTGGAAGCACGTTCCCCAGTCAATGATGTTGAGCACTGGACGACTCTCTCTGGGATTCAGTCCGGGCATGTACACCACGTCCACCCCCAACACCTTGTTGGGTTCATAGAATTTTGGCATTGCTGAGGGTCGCGCGGCCTTGGGAGGTTGATGTCGATCGCACAAGTCGCACCTGAACTCTTTCTGAATGAAGCTCACGACGTCTTCTCTTGCCCGGGCCAGCTTCATCAGTCTCGTGAATGACTCACGGGATGGATGCCCGAGGTTCACGTGAAGCTTCTTCACCAGATCCTTCTCACTCCTGCTTAAGTTGCTGGCTTCTGGCATTCCATTCTTCTTCTTGGCCCCTGCAGGTGTTTCTTCTTGCTCATCGTCCACTTCTTCAGCTCCTTGAAGTCTGCGAGCTCGTATTCCTTCCTCTTGCCTCTCCACCTTCTCAATTTCTTGGTCCAAATCATCTTCAAGATCACGTTCGGGAGGTTCAGAAGGAGTGTATTCCATTGGAGCCTCTTCATCGAATTGAGGATACATGGCTTCCTTCCTGGACTGGTTGATCATCTTCAAATCGTCCCGGGCTCCCTGAATGATAGCCTGGCACAGCTCTTCTAGGTATCGCTCTGCCCCTTTTGCCCTTCCACCTACCAGATGCTGGTGCGGATGTCCTCCCTGACACTGCTGGCTTAAGATCTTCTTCATTCCTGGTCCGTTCGTCATGAAGCCGGTGGATTTCTTGCTGAGTTCTTCTTCAGGTCGAACTCTCAAGCCAAACTGACATAGATCTCTTCGGACCACTTCCACCCCTGGCAAGGAGAGGCAATACCTCACAGCTTCTTCATTCCATGAGCGGCTTCCCCATGGGTGTTCGAACACTGCCACTCTTCCTCGAAGCACCTGCCATGCGAACAATCTCATGGCGAACTCCAGATGCTCCACACCCTCCTCCAAGATCAGCATTGCCCTCTTGGTGTCCATGTGGTGATAGTTCCATGCTTGGAGTTGAGAAAAAGGGCCACATGGAGGACAAAATACCAAAACATCCGGATCCTCCTCCTTGAGTCTCTTGAAGCATCTTCGACGGTCACCCTCTCTTCTGAAGTCATGCCCATTCTTGAGGTCAAAGGCAAGAGGGTCCGAGGCGCCCTGAGCTGCAGTGATCCGTGGCTCAGAGTACACCTCTGCGATCTTGGGTGTTCCTGCTTGACTTTTGTTCATCGCTCGAAGAAGCCTCTTCCTGATGCCTTTCTTCAGTGTCATCATCGCTTCCTCGATCAAGTCATCTTCTTGAGGCATCTCTCTCAGGACTTGAGCTCGAAGTTCTCCCTCTGGTGGCAAGGTCCCAGGCAAAATGCCTGGATGAAACTTGGATTCGTTTCCTCTGACGATCCAATAGCCTGGTGAAACTCTCTTCTCCCATGCCTCATAGTCCCAATCTTCCAACTGGGCGACACAGGCATTGTTCAGCATGCTTGCAGAACCAATGGGGACGCACCACGGGGCATTCCATGGTTCTGTCTTTTCTCCTTCTTCTGAGCTCAGTTGGTTGGCCCCGCACCTTGCTCCTCGAACATCTTCTTGTACTCCATGGCCTGGTTCACCATCTCTTGATGAAAATTTGGATCGGTTCGTGCCTGCTCCAATCTCTCTGGTCCTGCCACACAGGACAGCCAGATCAGCTGATCCCTCAGCTGTTGTGTCTCGGCGGCATGAGCTTGGTGCTGCTGCATCAAAAGCGCTTGGCCTTCCATCTGGGTCTTCACAGCCATCTCTTCGCTGCTCTGCCTCAGTTGCTCGATGCTGGCTTGTTTCTCGCTGAGCTCCTTCTCCTGCTCGTGCAGCTTCTTCTTCCACATCTCCAACTCGATCTTCTCCTGGACGTCGGGCGGAGTTCCTGATGGAAGAGAGCCCTGCGTCATCCTCGCACTGCCTGGACTGTCGAGTTCTTGGATCACCTTCACCTCGATGGGATCCCACTCGAAGTACTGGCATATGTGACGGGGGCAGTTGTAGAAGTGTCTCCCTTGCGTGGGTCCTGGTTTCTTCACCGTGAGTCTTTGAGCTGGAAGTTGGCATAAGCATCTCATGTCCCTTGGATTGGGACCCGGTGATGCGAGGGACACCTGACTTCCCGGAGACCCCGGGATCACACTCCAGCTTGCCGCACTGCAGCTTCCCTGCGTCTTCCTTGGAGGCGTTGATGGATTCCATGTCATTGACTCGGTAGTCGACGGCATTGAGCTGGTTGTAGGCATGGCCACCCTGGTCATATTCTGGGGCGGTGTCATCGGCGAGGGGATAGTCATAGTGGAGGAGCTGGCCTTGTTTCCTTTCATGGCCGGGATCATTGAGGCTACCTTCCACCGAGCGTGACACTCTTGACACCAGACCTCTCTCTGCACAGTATTTCCCGCCCCGCTGAGAGCATAGGTGGGATGTTCGCACTGCTCCATAGCTTTGGTGGGTGGCTTCATGCACTTCCGTTGACCCACAAACATTCCACACGCTTGGACTTGGCGTGCATAGTCTTCTTGCTTTGCCGTAGGCCTGTGCAAGGACTGGGACACTGTGGGCATCACCGGAAGTTGAATGGGCCCCACCTGCTGTGGAGGTCCCTGAGCTGGCGTCCACTCCGGCAAAGGAGACGGCAATGAGCCAACAGCATAGCCACCTCCGGGCGAGGCCTGAGGCGGTGGATCCGCGCCGACTGGGTTGAGCACAATACGGCCCAACTGCATCAGCAGTTGAAGAACCCCCTTGATGATCTTGCGCCACCGGAGGAGCACCTGCGGGCGGATCTCCGCAGCTTCGTCGACTTCCATGCGGCTGCGCTTGTGCTGCTCCATGATCGCTTTGGGGGTGATGGTGGTCACTCGGAACACGGTTCGTGCCCAACATAGCTTCGGAGGCAAAGGAAAAATGAGTTTGCCACAAAATGAACTCTTTTCGACGTCGGCCAACCTGGGCTGCCTCACTTGGGAGTTTCCAACCACACTTTCCAAAATTGCACACATCGACCGCGGCGTGTCCGCTGTTCAAGGTGGTCATAGGCAGGCTCACCTGTGCCTTCTTCAAAACCAGTTGATTACCCTCTAAATCAACACATGCATGAAGATCACGAAGGAGGCGAACAGGAAGTAACAAGGGAACGTCTTCTTGGACGACCGTGCACTCCAGAATACCACAAACACCACCCAGACCGAGAGGAACTTCTACCACACCAGCCACCTGCGCTTCCCCACCAACGCCTCGAGCTTGAGCTTTCTTATCAGTCCACACTACTCGTAGTTCATGGTCCCTCAAAGAAGCTTCGAGTCGTTGGAGAGCAAGACGTCCCACCAACCCAGATTGAGCCGCGGTGTCCACGATACCTTGTTGGGGGGATGTCGACAACCCACAAAAGTTCTCAACCGGAGAGCCCTGGTGCTTGATAACCCGCTTGAAGAAGTGACCAAGTGTGAGCTGTCCCGATGAGCGCTCTACCCCCCTTTCCTGCCAAAAGGTCTGAGCGTCTGATTGATGTGAGACGCTGAAAAAGCCGGAGCGTGCATTGGAAGCTCCGGAACTGGATTCGGAGGCAGTCTTGTTCTTGTAGCCGTCAGGCTTACCAGTGCACTCTTTGGCCCAATGTCCGACTTGTCCACATCGAGCGCACTTGGTCCTCAACTTCAACATGTCAATGTGGACCCGCCTGCTTCCGGCCTCATTGCGAGATCTGAAGGGGCCGAACTGGCCTTTGCCTTTCTTTCCACCACCACCCTTGCCGCCATCGCGCGACCATTGATGCCGCTGTGTCTTCTGTGCTTGGAGTGCTCGGCGGCCCTCTTGGTAAGTAGCCAACGCTTCAAGTATGTCATCTTCTTCGAAGATCTGGTCCAGATCGCCTTCACCAACCCACACGTAGTCAGTGCCCTCGTCCTCCTCAAGGAACGTGTAATCTGGGTCCTCAGGAGCTTCATACTCATCAAAGAACACCTTAGTGGATTTCTCTTTAGTGACTTTCTCAAGTCTTCGCAGGCCCTTAATCACGGTGTCCCGGTCGTAGCTCCCACTCCCCCACGTGGTCAACTGATCCTCTTACACTTGGGACAAATTGGCCTGTCTAAAAATCACGTAGCCCTTCACCTGGTCATTCAGAGTCACTCCCTCATCCGCTAACTCCTTAAAAGCGGAGTCAATTCTCAGCACATAGTCCTAGAAGGACTCCCGGCTTTTGCGAGACTCGCCATACATGGCCTTCTCGAATGCCCGTGGCAATGCGGTCTCTATGTAGGCCTAGAAGTGCTCCTTCAACTTATAGACGATGGCTATGGCGCCATTCTCGGACATCAAGTCCTTCAGCGGCACTTTCATCCGCTGCTGCCCTGGCCATACCCGACAGTTGTCGGATAAGCTTGACGCCGTGCTTCTCCTTCGGCATCTCCGTCTCGAATTGCCAAAGCTGCCAATCCTTTGGACAGCATTTAAAGATACTAGGGTCCCCATCGTCAAAACCAGGTGGGGCATCTCGTTCTCTCCAACTCGAACTCGCGGCCGCAAGGGCCGCCATCGACCGACTTGCGCCGGTCAGCGACTCAGGGTCGCCAAAGCCATCGCGTTCACTCATGAACCTAAAAGAGCCGAAACTCCGCTACCACTATGGGTAGACGGAGCCAAACCAACAAACCACACCGGAAGGTGTGCCTACCGAAAACGAATGCCGAATTTTTCACGACAAACATGCCCCGCGATCCTGAGTCACGAGCAGAAAGTGCGAAAGTGAACTACGGTCAAAAACACTCATTCTGAATGCAACCATTCACATCTCCTGATAGGGGTCCCGATAATGACGGATCATTACCTTGGCATAAACCTAGTGGTTGCAGAAGGGACAATAAATAGCAAGCTCTTGGCACAGTAGTTTATCCAAATATAGGCCCATGTACGATCGGTAACGAATGCACATAGCCATTTCAGGTCTAAACACAATCGGGATCCCCAAGGGTTTAATGCAAATCAAAAATTATACAAACATATTAATACATATATATAATGTCGTTATATTGGAAAATTAGAACATGCAATAACGACAGACATTAGTGCCATCGAATATGTCGCATAGACGATTATATCCATCTTCTAGCAAATACAAGATGTAACGCATTTAACGCACGTACCGCTTCAATATCCCGGCCTAGTTAAATTATCGATAATATTCCGGGCATTCAAAAGAAAAATCCTAAGCATAAAATTAAGAAAAATCACTCGGCATATCTAAATGGCTCATAAAGTAATCTAAAATCAATATAATCCCATCGAGAAGTTATTCATCCATGGCAAATTCGATTGCTTACTAAATTTCCAAATAATTCCACCGTGTCTCCCAAATTCAAATATATAGATAAATTTCATATAATATTATTTATTATTTTTCATTAATTATTTAATTGTAATTTATAACTAAAATTATATTTTTATAATTATTAAATTTAGAATTAATAAAGATAAAATATATATTTATGTAGATTATATATAACAATGTTTAAAATATGTATTATATTCGTTTTGTATGTTCAATTTTTCCATGTAATGATAGTCGTAATGTAGGTATATTCATCGATGAATTATAAATTTGGTGTCAAAAGCAAAATTGACAAACAATGGATCTAGCCTGAAGTGATTGCCAATCTGCATGTGGATCATTGTCATAAGGTCCTTTCATTTCTTGGAAAAATAAATGTATCCTGTATCCAACAGGAAAAATAGAAGCATGACCCACACCCATGGAGGCAAGCAAACCGTTCATTCTCGGCTTGGGCTCCACTGCCGAACGCTTCCCGCCCTTCTGCATGCATGATCATGTTTTGGCTGGCGATTTTTTGGGGCGAATAGGCTTCATCATGTTTCCTTCTGACCGATGTCTACATATGGTAGGGCAGTAGCTTCAATGGAGAGAAAATGCAGTCTTCAGAGAAGCGGCCAAAACTTGCCCCGGCGGTGGGTGCCACGCAATTTGAGATTACTCAAAGCGAACTCCACACCATAGCGACACCTTCAAACAATGCTTTACAGAAAGCCACAAGTCTCACCACGACATTTTGGTAAGTTGTCCACAACGCATGCCGAGAAGTGCTTTTGCTTGGTGGTATTACTTTTCTAGATTTGATTTATGTGAGGTGGGGTGGCATTGAAATATGCACAATATCAGCAGCATGTGCTCGGCCACTGTCTTGATTTCAAGACGCAGCAGATATTAATTACATTGAAATGACCGAAGAAGTCTTGGAAGACTTCACCAATTGTCTCCCGTTACGCAGCTTCAGGTGCCCCTGGCAATTGCGGACATGTGTCACGTTCAAAACGTCCAAGGTCAAACAATATCATCAGGATAAAGTACTTGCAGAACAGCCTACATGCTGACAGCAAAGTCGTCCAAATCCAGGTGTTTCTTGAAACATCTAGGGTTTCTTAGTCACCATGAATGCATTTAGCCAAATTTATATAGTCCGACAATAGTCCGAGTCCTCCATCTTTCTTCCATTTGCTCACTGCCTGACGGATCAACAAAGGATGCAGAACTCTAATAGTCTTATAAAACCTAAAATTGGGGAAGTATTGAAATCACAAATCATGGTTTCTTTCCCATACACAACATGTGCAGCAAAGTCGAGATAGAAAGGGCTGCAGCGAGGATCAAAACGTGAAGCCCTGGCGCTTGCTACAGAAAGCAGTTCTTGAAACCAATACCTTGCCAAGGTGAACAAAAAAGGCAAAAGAACGCAATAAAGAATCCCACGGATTCCATTTAGCTGGCAAAAGTGTTTCTGGTGGGACCGGGACAATGTGAAAGATTTCGGCTAGGTTCCTTGACTTGGGCCAGTCTGTCACCTTTTGCAATACATTATATGGGGGTTGTTCAAAAGTCCTTTCATTTTTTTCCAGGCCTTTCGCAGGACCTTCGCGAAGCTTTCGCAAGCTTTCGCGCGTGGGGTTTTACCACTGTCGGCGAAAATGGTTTTTCGTTGGGGCTAGAGGCTTTCAAGGATTCATGCAGTTGCCCTGGCACGTCTTGTGTCCTCTGATCACTGACACATTGATTGCTGAGGAACAGGAAGCCAGCCAACCAAGCAGTTTTCATGTTGGTGTGTTTTTGGTTGGGCACAACCCTCCATGAACAAGAGACGGCTCAGTCAGGCCAGTTTGCTCAGACTTCCAATTTGCTTTTTCCCGGGCCGGGAAAAAGCAAAATGGTTCAGACTTCGAATTTGCTTTTTCCGGGGCCGGGAAAAAGCAAAATGGTTCAGACTTCGAATTTGCTTATGGTTCAGACTTCCAATTTGCTTTTTTCCAAGCCGGGAAAAAGCAAAATGGTTCAGACTTCCATTTTGCTTTTTCCCGATGGTTCAGACTTCCAATGGTTCAGACTTCCAATTCGGGAAAAAGCAAAATGTAAATGTATCAGACTTGCAGTTTGGAATCCGGCCTGGAAACAAGCAGCGCCTGTGGGACTCGATCCCACGAGCTTCTGCTTATGAGCCTGGCGCCTTATCCATTAGGCCACTGCTCTCTGAAAAACATGCTTTTTCCAGGCTTTAGAAAGAAAATTGGAACCGCACGCTGGAGTCACCGACCGTGTTGTATGCGCACTTAGAGCTGTAGAACCAACCACCTCACCTCACATACCCTCACCTCACATACCTGCACTTGTGGGCATGCTATGAGTGCATCTGCAGCTGGAGTGTCCAGCGCGTGCTTCCAGCAAGAAGAGTGGAGTGGGGTGGGGTTTGGCCCCGTCGTCTTTCGCGTCCACAATGTGAACCTTTCGCCATACTTGCGCAGTTTCCCACGACAAAGAATTTTCCAAGGG